TCAACAACTGAAATTTAGAATAGTGTGATTAAGAAAAATATGTGAACTGTTTGCAATTTCAAATTAATATTGAAATGTACAGGTTTAGAATTTTCTACAGTGAAAAGTTTTCGGAACTTCAGTATTCAAAAAAGTATACAAAAACTAGACGTTAAGAACGTATCCAATGAGCGAGCAAAGCGAGCATTGGATTGCGAAGCAATCCGAAATGAACTACGAAAGCACTTCCAGGGGTTGGCGAGTGCCAGCGAGTAGGGGGCGAAGCTTCCTAGTTCACTTATAATTTATGAATAATTTTCATCATCTCTATTATTATAAAGATATTAATTTTTTGTTACAGCTTGTCCATTTCAAATTCGGTGTGAGGATGGATATTTTTGTATTGATGAATTGGATGTTTGCGACGGAAGAAAAGATTGCAAGGATAACAGTGACGAACGGGATTGCCATGCCAGAGTATGTTACTCAGAAACTGAATTTCGATGTAGAAGCGGGCAATGCGTCATGAAATCAGACGTATGTGATGAAATATCTGACTGTGAAGATGACAGTGACGAATCAAATTGCAGTAAATAAAACTTTATCTTTAGTTTAAGATATTTGGAAGCACTGAATCTGCTCGCTTCGCACTACCCAGACCCAGATAGCAAAAAAATGTTTATTTCAACTCACCAAAACCCTTTTATTGTAAACCTAATAAGATTTGTTTTGCGGTTTATGTGTAAGCCATCTAACCTTAGAACGAGAACTGTGACCATCTGCTCTATTCTACGCACATTACCCTAATCCAAAACCTCGGAAAACAACCTTAATATAAAAACCTTAAATCGAGGTTGTCTTAGCGTGAAAAAAATCCTTCAATACAGCTAGACTCAAGTTGAAAATAATCTTAAAACTAGGTAATTATAAGGTTTCTTTTCGCAAGGTTTTGTAAGCTCAGCTAAAATTAACCTTGTCTTGAAATTTTAATAGACTATGCAGTTGGACACTATCACAAGTGTGACATCAGCTAAGATACCATTATAGACCTAAGTGATAATACTTTTTAAAAAATAATTTTTAATCCTTTTAGGATGAAAGGTTTGAAGGTGATATATTTTTGCTTTATTAAAAAAAGGTTTTTAGTACAGATATTTTCGGGACAAAAAAAAGAAAGGCATAAGGTTACATGCTTTCTGGGTTTTCTTTTATTTGTCCATTTTGTTTTGTAACTTTCGCATTAAATCAAGAGCGAGGTTATAAAATAATGATTTCAAGAGCGAGACAATTTTTTCGTCGGTGAAGAATAAATAATCATTATAATTCATCGAAAAAAAAATTAAAGAGTAAAAGAATTTTCGTATTTTTACGTAAATTCTTTTTGCTCGTTAAAGTCGCACTATTTTTCGAACAAAATATAATTTCGAAAAAACAATACCATGCTTTAATTTTATATTTGAAAACGGCTCAATCAGCATGTCAAATTTCAACTCTGCCACTTCATTTTAGTGGGAAGTACAGAGTCTGACTAGAGCAGGGGCATAGGGGGGCAGTTGGCCCGGGCCCCCACTTCAGAGGAACCCCAAAAATCAAAAAGAAGGAAAAGAAGGATTTCTTCTGAACTTTTTTCATCTAATAAAATTTTTTTAAAACAAAATATCAGTACAGTGTAAAATAGTCAATTTTATACTAGCTTCTGCATTAATCTTTCATATGAACACAAAAAATCTCTATTTCGTAAATACATGGCTTTCTAGCACGGAATTAAGCTAAATTTTCACAGTTACAATGGACATATTTGGTCAATCAAAAGTTTTTTTTACATATCGCAAAATGTTATATGTTTACAAAAACACAGGATCTGATTGGCTTAATTGAGCCATTGTAATTGCGAAAATTTAGCTAAATTCCGCCCTAAATGTCAGCAAGGACATGAAATTTTCGCAGATAGATGACAAACTTAACAATCAGAAAACTGTAATCTTCACGATGGACATAGAAATGTCAAAAAATCAATAAAATAAGCAGAACGATATTTCGTCTAACCATTCGAGGGAGGGGGGCATTTATAACCATTTTAGATTCCAGTCACTTTCCTTGTTATATATCTATAATGAGGTGAAAGTTTTAAATACCTCCATAAAGTTCGGTTCTTCATCACTGAAATAGTATACCAAAGGGGCACCCCCCAAAGTAGTTTTTGCTAAGGGTCCAAATTTGGCTAGGTCGGGCCCTGGAAAAATATATCAGTCAACATAGTTTTTTTTTAATTTTTTTATTCTAAACTTCCAGTTTTATCTTAACATAGTTGATATAGACATAGTTGGTCCATCTAATTCCTTATTTTTTCCCTACATCTTCGTGATTTCAAGTTTTTAGGTCTTTGTGCGCAGCAAAACAAAATGAATGTTAAGTCGTGCACCCGAATAAGAGGAGGCCATTACGATAGTTAATAATTCTCTAAACTTAGTTAGAAACTTTGGAAACGCTTTGAGCCACAATATCGCGCAAATTATTAACTACTTTATTACGAGGCCTTTGATTTATTGCCTTTGCTTTGCCTTGTTGAACCATATTGTTGCGAAAACTTAAACATCTTACACATGATCGCAGGGGAAATTAAAGTTCAACTTGAAGAGCGAAGCATGGTTCATTTTTACATGTTATTAACAAATTGCAATGAATAAACTCCATATTATAGTTCCATTGACTTCGATTAAGATTTTACACTGAACCAATTTTTAAAAGGTACATTTACAAGGCGAGTCAAGGCTGCTTTATAATATCGACNATGTGATAAGAACTTTCAGCATTAATTAACTTTGGAATTGAGTATGCCCTTGTTTCAAAACGGATCTTTGATACTGCTTCCTATTTCGAAATTACCATTTATTATTATTTTAATGTGCTTAGCAATATGAAAACTAGCGATATCGAGAATTATTCAAAATTAAATAATAACTGAGGAACGTTGTTAATTGAATGATTTTGTTTTATCTTATGCACTGATTCGTATGAAACACAAAAAAGCGCCAGAAAGTTTTGTAGTAAACCTTTTTTTTTCATACTAAATTTGTAATTTAAGCGAAGAAAACAACTCCGTAGGCATGTAATTTTGAACCCAATCCCGAAGAAAAAGGAACTCCTGGATCAAATAGTGGAAAATGTTTTTTTTTTTTTTCAATTTTTAATAGAATTGCAGGCAAAACCTCAAAATTCAATCATTCAAATTTAAAGCGTCCATTAAATATACACTTATTTGCATTTAATATCGAAGATTTCTTCTGATTTTTTATCGTTGTTTTAAAAATTGTTGATTTTTTTGTATAATGAGATTTTTGTTTCATTTAGATGATGTGAAAAAAGAATCTACTGTTATCGACAGTGTTACTGATGATACTGCATTTGGAGAACTGGAACATTCAAGTTTCACAGATTTTTTCAAGAGTCTTTTCAAGCGAAATTCAACCAAATTTTAATATTTCAAATTAAAAATTCTCAAAATGTTTTATTCTTTTTAATTTCAATATTTATTGCTATTGATGCTTAATCAAATGAAATTTTTATATTTTTGAATTTAAATAAATAATTCAATGAACAAATAGAAAATAGTATATAGGTTTGGATTTATATACACTTATAGCAAGTACATTATTTTTAAAACAAAACTTTATATTTGATGGAAGTGTTTAATTTTCTTATTTTTTATACATTTAATGTATATAATAAATTTAGTTAAATATAATTATTTTTTCCTCTACTGAAAAAGTTTATTTTAAAAGATCAAGCAATTTCCAAACATCTATAGGATAGATATTGATTTTCCATTACAATTATCCTTAAAAATAGTTGCTTTAATAGCCTTCTCAGATAGCAAAATAAGGTTTATTCTCACCCAGCAAAAACCTTAAAATGTAAACCTTAAAAGGTTTGTATATTTTGATACTGTAGAATATAAAATATATCTTGTATCGTATTTTCTGCATTACAGAGCTATATTAGAATATAATGATAGTAAAAAATTAAATACATTCTCTAAAGCGTTACCTACTTTAAATGTTACTTTAAACTTTTCAAGAGACAGTTTCAAAATAATTTTTAAAAAATTTTCAAGTGAAACCCTCCCAAATTTCTACATAAATAATTTCTCCTTATTTTATAATTTTCAATAAAAAAATTAGTATTGTTTGATATTAATGATACATTTTTAAAAATATTTATCATGTAATTCAATCTTTATTAACACTAGAAACTTAGTATATATGTCATCGGCAGAGTATGAAACGCCGGCATTGTATAGAATACCTAGGCATTGTATATATTGCCAGTTGTTTTCATTCAAAGTATGAAATGTGAGAAATATTACATTCTTTCCCTAGGCATTGTATAAAATACCTAGGCATTCCATAGAATGACGAATGCTATTGAGGCAAAGTATGAAAAAAATGTACTGATGAAGTTATTATGTAAATAATGACNTTAATACTTACTGACGATAAATTAGAGGAAACACCAGTGTTTGGAGTATCGGCCAAATATATACTGGGCAATGGCACTTGACCTTACTAAAGGTCTAATCATACTAGGTCTAGTTAAGTGCTACAGCCTGGTATACATTTGCCCGGTATATCCTACACTGATGTTTTTTTAAGGTCAACTGCCACTGCCCGGCATGATTTTGCCCGGTATACCCTACACTGATATTTTTTTAAGGTCAAGTGCCATTGCCCGGTATATATTTGCCCGATACTCCAAACACTGATGTTTCTTCCAATCTATCGTCAGTAAGTGTTAAAATATCAAAGAAATAAAATAATATCGACGAATAAATTAATATCAAGTCGGATGTAATAAATATTTCGAACATTCACCAAAGTGGCTATGTGATTGTTGACATCCACCGGTGAAAGTCGACATTCTCCAGATTTCGGTCATTCACAGTAACATGCATTTCTCAAAAATAAAAATGTTATTCTGAAAAAATACTAAGAGTGCTATTAAAAAACATTTATTCAAAATGTGTAAAGAAAAATAAAAAGTTGTGCAAATTATAATGTATGCTTTTCTTATTAAAGGAAACAAAATTTTCATATAAAAAATGAGAAATTAACCTACTTGTTGCAGCATAACAGGCTTGAATGACGTTCTGAATATGTCATTTTGTCATGACATTTTGACGAATCGGAGATGTATTTTATACTTTGCCGGTTTCTAATTTGGCATTCTATGGAATGCCTAGGAAATCTGTGAAATATAAATCATTTCATACATTGCCAGCTAGTTTTAGGCATTATATACAATGCCTAGGCATTCTATAAAATGCGGGATATCAAACTTAGCCGGTAACATATACAAATAATGCCCAAAAGCAGTCAAAATGACAAGAAATAACTAATGTATAAAGAAATTTGATTAAAATTAATTTTTAATATTATTTTCAGTTATATAACAAGTTATTAGTAAATATAAACAATAAAAAAAATTACTTCATTTTAAAAAAGAAATAATTAATGCATTATTATTTGTACATTTTTTGCAAATGAAAAAGCGCTCAAAATGACTTCCTTGGACAATCTAATGATAAAAATGCCCATTGACTCGACTTGCTGTAGAAAAAAAAAAGCTTTTTGGTGAGATTAAATGTATAAGTAGTTAAATTTTTATTTTATTTGTGTTAAGAATCTTTTATCAAGACATTTTAATTAATTTCCGGTTGCTGATATACCCTTTTGTAGACTTCCTCATTTAATGCTTGTTAAGGCAAATCATTATTCGTTATTTTTGAAATATTAACTCAATTGTAAGTTGAGTATTCAATTGTATACAATGGATCTACGTATAATAATTGCTTTGTTTATCACCGTTGTAGTATCTTCAACGCACGGTAAGCATGATAAAGATACTCTTAATTTATATTTAAATATTAAAATATAAAATTTTAGAACTTTTTTTGGAGTGGACTTGGGTGAAAGTAAAATAATTTTTTGTTAGATAAAAAATGAATAGCGTTGGCCCTATCACTTTTGAAAGACATTGAGGAGTTTTCGGTAGTGATAGACGTTTAACCTCCTGACTTCCAATAAACATTTTTATACTGCCATTTATTTCGGGTTATGCTATTATTAAATTATTTTGTGATTGTGATTGATTTATTAAATAAAATTTATTTAGTGAGACCCAAAAACTAATTTGATTTTTAGAACTTTTTTTGGGGGGTGGAATTTAAAACTTTAAAGAGTTAGCAGTAAGCGTGGAGCTTGAAATAACGACTCATAACGTACAAGAGAATGTAGCTCTCTAGTGTTGACCTCTAGATCTAACTCGAACCTTTATTGTTACCCGCATTTAACTTGAAGAAGCCTTCTTTTTATTCCCTGAGTTTATCTGTAGATGATCGAACAAATCACATGGTTTCCCATCTTTATTTAGAATTTGAGATTCGTGGTGAGTATACTTACCAAAGCCTAAATAATAGGAGAAAATGCTTTAAAACCAATAGGTTAAACAATACGAGAAAATACGATTCTTACTTAAATAATGTACTTCAGGCAAGTAAACTCATAAATGCGATAAACAATTTTTTTAAAATTCAGTAACTTAGTTTAATAAATTTTTAGTCATGTTTAATTATTAGATAAAAAGGATTCATTTCAGCTTTTAGAAATTTTTTGCTTAATGTCGGATATTTTTCTTCACATTTTGATCATGAAACTCAACTCAATAATAAGATGTTTGTATACATGAGAGATTGATTGAATCGAATCTTATTTTTCTTATAATTTTTCTATGTAATTAAAAATTCTGACTAATGATGGTAAATTGAATTAAATTTCTATACAGTGTAGAAATATAAAAAAACTTTTTAATCCATGTTTTTTTTTCATTCTTTACTTTTCCTTATCTCTTACGTAATCAAATTAACCAAACTGTCCAAGTTAAAATATATTGGACGAGTTGTCTGACGTGATTATTATGAAAGTGCATCCAACTTTTTTTTTGTCTGCTGAAAATAGATTTGTTTTCCCTTTTTTGTCCTTTTTTGTATTTTTTTTAGTTTAGTAGCTGTTTAAGCAGCCGATTGCGACAAAGCAAAAACTGCCAAAATTTTGATTGGCGATAAAAAGGGCAATAAAGTTCGCTTGTATTATTTAGAAAACAAATGCAACTAGCATTGGTTTCATGATCAGCTGAAATTTAAGTACTCTCGCTAGAAAGTTTTGTTGAAATTACGATTGACGATAAATTCTGTTTGGTGACAAAAATGGCGCTATAAATTCTGCTTGTTAGTGAAAGAAAAATTGAAGCAAGCCTATTCATCTAGCAAAATTTTGAACACTTTTCGACATGAGGTCAAAATTGGTAGTGGTGATAATTTCACGATAAATTCTAATTGTAACGGTCAGAAAATGATTGATATTCATAAAGAACGCACCCCCAATAGCTTTAGCAAGTCGGATTTCCTTTAGCAAGATGCTTTAGCAAGTCGGATTTCCACATAGCAAAATAAGGTTTATTTTCACATAGCAAAAACGTTTTAATGTAAAGCTGAAAAGGTATGCAAGCAATGCTGTTTACGTGTAAACCTTCTAACCTTAAAGCGAAATCTGAGGCAATCTGCTTTATTTTAAGCACATTTCCCTAATCCAAAACCTTGGAAAACAACATTCTGTATAAAAACCTTAAAGCGAGATTGACTTAGGGTTTTCAAACGTGAAAAAAATGCTTTAATAATGCTAATCTCAAGGTGAAAATAATCATTAATCTAGGTCATTATAAGGTTTCTTTTCTCGAAAGCTAGTATGCTCAGCTAAAATTCACCTTGACGTGAAACTTTAAATGGACAAAGAAATTTGATCCTATCGCTAGTGTGACGTCAGCTAAAACTGTCATTATGGACCTAAACAACAATACTTCTTAAAAAGCTTTAAATAATAATTTTTAAGAAGTATTGACATTATTTAAACGATTATGCCAGCAGGACTTACACTAAAGTTTCTGCAAATGAGCTAGAGTGCTGCTCTTAATGCTTTTGCAGTCACATTCATATGTCAGTTTGAACGGTGGATTAAAAATAGAAACGAAAATAAAATAATTTTAGATTTGGTAGAGCAGACCCTTGAAGCAGATTGAATACCGGTGACCTTCATTTTTATATATATTTTTTGTGACGTTATAAAGAGAAGTGAAAATATATTTTGATATTTTTTATTTATAAAAAACAGTCAATCAATTACTAAAAAAAATTCATAGATAATCGAAATTATATTTGTACTAAAATATAAAATACAAAAAAAAGAAATATTAAACTTTTTTTCCATTCGTATTCAAATATTTATCAATAAATGATTCTTTAAAACTAAATAAATTTCTACGTTGAATAACTGTTTCTTTCGCAGTCAAAGTAATAGCAAATTTGAAAAATTGTTTGGAAGTGAGCTGTGTTTGGAAGATTCTCAGACAAATACTATAATATGAGGGCGGGCATTGTCCTGTTGAAACACAGCGCCTGGCAAGGCTTGAAGGAAGAGAACAGCTTGGGNTGAAAGAAAAATTGAAGCAAGCCTATTCATCTAGCTCAGAACGCAGTTCAATTTTGAACACTTTTCGACACGAGGTCAAACTTGGTAGTGGTGATAATTTCACGATAAATTCTAATTGTAACGGTCAGAAAATGATTGAAATTCATAGAGAACGCAACCCCCCATATATGCTTTAGCAAGTCGGATTTCCACATAGCAAAATAAGATTTATTTTTACTTAGCAAAAACCTTTTCATGTAAACCTAAAAAGGTTTGTAATGCTGTTTACGTGTAAACCTTCTAACCTTAAAGCGAAATCTGTGACAATCTGCTTTATTTTAAGCACATTACCCTATTCCAAAACCTTGGAAAATAACATTCTAAATAAAAACCTTAAATCGAGTTTGACTTCGGGTATTCAAACGTGAAAAAAAAAGCTTTAATAAAGCTAATCTCAAGGTGAAAATAATCATTAATCTAGGTCATTATAAGATTTCTTTTCTCGAAAGCTTGTATGCTCAGCTAAAATTCACCTTGTCATGAAACTTTAAATGGACAAAGAAATTTGATCCTATCGCTAGTGTGACGTCAGCTAAAACGTCAATATGGACCTAAACAACAATACTATTTATAAAGCTTTAAAAAAAATTTTAAGAAGAAAAGTATTGACATTATTTAAACGATTATGCCGGCAGAACTCTCACTAAAGTTTCTTCTGCAAATGAGCTAGAGTGCTGCTCTTAATGCTTTTGCAGTCACTTTCATATGTCAGTTTGAACGGTGGATAAAAAATAGAAACGAAAATCAAATAATTTTAGATTTGGTAGAGCAGACCCTTACAGCAGATCGACTACCGGTGACCTTCATTCTTATATGTATATTTTGTGACGCTCTAATGACTAGCGAAAATATATTTTGATATTTTTTATTTATGAAAAACAGTCAATCAATAACTAAAAAAAATTCATTAGATAATCGAAATTATATTATTACCAAAATACAAAAAAGAAGTATTTTATTCTTTCGTATTCAAATATTTATCAATAAATGATTTTTTAAAACTAAAAAAATTTCTATGTTGACTAACTATTTCTTTCTCAGTCAAGTAATAACAAATAAGTGTAAATTTGAAAAATCATTTGGAAGAGAGCTGTGTTTGGAAGATTCTCAGAAAAATACACCGGTTAGAATATTCTGAAAAATACACCGGTGTTTCATTCTGTATTTCATAACTATAAATCATCAAAATGCTAAATATAACATTTTTCAATTATATTGACATAAATTGATGCATAACATAAATTGATGATTTATTCTGTATTTCATAACTACAAATTATCAAAATGCAAAATATAAATTCATGTTTGTGAAAATTGCAACACCATGAAGGAATCGTCATAAATAAATGAAATTTAATACACAGCTGATTAGTAGCAGTACAAGCAAATGATTAAATTTTCAAACCAAACAAACAATAACAAGAGATCAAAATAAGTATTTTGTGTAACAGTCAAACAAATTTTGAATGTTTGCTTGAGAAAAAGCATTTCATTTTGTTTGTATACGTACCCAAAGTTCATCTGTAGAAGCAACAGGACGATGATCACGAGTGAGACGCCGACCAGCGAAATCCCACACATGTTCAATTGGCGATATATCCGGGGAATACGCAGGCCAAGGAAGAAGCTGTACCTACCGCGATGCAAGGCACGATTGCACAGTCCTAGCAATATAAGGGCGGGCATTGTCCTGTTGAAATACAACGCCTGGAAAATCTTGAAGGAAGAGAACAGCTTGGGGCTGTAGAACTTCACTGATGTGCCGGTTGCTGTTCAGATTACCCACAATTCGTAGCAATTGAGTTTGTCCATGATATGCAATGGCACACCAGACCATAACTACAAATTAAAGCGGGATTCGTCAGAAATCACTACACACTGCCAATCTGCATGCCAGTCCCTATGCTGGTTGGCCCATTGCAGCCGCAGGCGGTGATGGTTTAGCGTGATGGTGATCCTGTATAAAGGAGTACATTGCACGCAGTCCACGCTGCATCAGACGTCTATGAATTGATGAAGCACGCAATGAAACACCTGTAGCTATTCACCACTGTGCTGCCAGTTGTGTAGTGGGGGCCGTAAGGTCAAACAGCGCCATGCGGACCGAGTGTCTACAGTCGCGAGGTGACGTGACATTTCGGGGTCCACTCCCGGATTTCCAAGTTGTCTGACACTCGTTTGTCCACTTCTTCCAAACACGCACCACTGTGCTGCTGTTACGCTGCACACGAGCGGCATCTGCACCATAAGATAATCCAGCTTCCCGAAGGCCGATGGTTCTCCCCCCTTCAAAGTCCGTAATTTGCTGAAAACTCGCTCTCTTTCATCAAAGATGCATAAGTAACGACTAAGCTAACGTTTACCACAAGTAGATTACCAGCGATTACCATACACGCGTCGCTACAGCCGTCTATTTACTCGGATCCATCAGCCGTTTAGAGGGCGCTGCTCAGCATGCGCTACGGGTCTGAAATTCTAATCATTTGCATAACATGCTCTACTTTGCATTTCCTGAAAATTTCAGCTATCTCGCATGAGTCCTTTACGGTGTTGCAATTTTCGCAAACATGAGTTTAACATTTCTCAATTATTTTGACCTAAATTTATGCAAAATAATGAAAACAAATTTTTTAAAAAATTCTGCGTCAAAGGGTTACGGAAGGGAATCTGAGAAGCATTAAAAATCCTCACTGAGGCGAGTTTAGCCGTGTTAACTGAATAAAACATCTGGGACTGTATGAAATATCAGGGCACCTGAGGCCGCTTGCGTCCCTTTTCCCATTCATCCTGAGCTTGAACTGAGTGGTGCTTCATTGAGGTTGTGGAATGCAACTGAAGTAAAGGAGTTTAGAAGTATTCCCTTCTTTAAGTTAGTTTAGATCCCATCTTTTTTTAGCATATAAAAATACTGCGGAGGTAGAAGATATTGACAATGTTAACCTTCATCTATGAAAAGGTACCCCATCATAGAATCGAGTTAACATATTTCATATACTAATGAATTGGAATTGTACTTTTGTAGTGGTAGATACACTACAGTACTCCCTCACCAGAATTATATCTGTTATAGAATTCGATGAACAGACACCACTAGTTGATTCATTAATATTTTGCCAAAAGCCGGTAGAGCTGTATTAAGATAACCGTGCAATTAGCTGATCGTGAGAGCTGTATTAAGTGTACGGTTGTGGTTGCTCCTGTGTTGCCATTAGCAGTCGAGTGTATGCAGACCACGTTGTGTGTGAACGAGACTGAGTGGTAACAGCGCGTGGAGGTTGAAAATGTCGCAGTCACAAGTCAAATGTTCAAAGTGGACCATCCATCGACGTAGGCGTGTTCAGATCGAAGTGGGGCGTTACTGTCAAGAAAGGCGTGTTCTGATCTAAGTGGGAGTTTTTGATAAGGTAGGCGTCTTCACATCACGCCCGAAGGTCACGTATGTGGAGGTAGTAGATCTCGACCATGTTAATCTTCATCTTAGAAATGGTTACCAGTCATAGAACCGAGTTAACATGTCTTATATACTTATGTTTAGGAATTGTATTTTTGTAGTGGTAGATACTCTACAATACTACAGAAATTATTGGATACAAAAAAGAAAATTTATGCAATATATATGCTATAAGAAATTTACAATAAACAATATAAATCTGGAAAATTGATCAATAATTAAGGAAGTACTATAATAAGGACTATAATAGGGAATGAGATATTAGGTTTATAGTTTTTGTTATGAATGATAAGGGGGGAAAAAGAAAGAAAACGAACAATAAGGAAAGAAAAGAAAGCTAACTGTTTTATTTCCAGCAAAAATAAATAAAAAATAATAATAAATCATAGAGTATTATTTTAAAAAAAATCAAAAGTTTTGGTTCTCTTACCAATTATTAGCCTACTTTTTTGTATCTGAAATCGTTATTTATTTTAGAGAATTTATATTTTTTTCTTTCCGATTGTCAATTCAAATTTCAGTGCGACAATGGAAATTGTATTGACGAAAGCTATGTTTGTGACGGAGACAACGATTCCGAAGATAGAAGTGACGAACGCGATTGCCATGACAGAGTATGTGACTCAGAAACCGAATTTCGATGTAGAAGCGGGTATTGCGTCCTGAAATCAGACGAATGTAATGGAGTATCTGACTGTGGAGATGACAGTGACGAATCACATTGCAGTAAATACAACTTTATCTGTAGTTTAAAATATTTGGAAGCTCCGAATCTGCTCGCTTCGCTCCCCAATTCTCTAGACCCAGATAGACCACAAAAAAAGAAGTATTAATTTTTTTTTTCTATTCGTCTTCATTTATTTATCAATAAATGATTTTTTGAATCTAAAGAAATTTCTATTTTGAATAACTATTTCTTTCAGAGTCAAGTAATAGCAAATTAGTGCAAATATGAAAAATTATAGGAAGTGAGCTGTGTTTAGAAAATTCTCAGAAAAATACACCGGTTAGAATACTCCGAAAAATACACCGGTTAGAATACTCCGAAAAATACACCGGTGTTTTATTCTGTATTTCATTACTATAAATTAACAAAATGATAAATTTAACATTTTTCAATTATTTTGACCAAAATTAATACAAAATAATGAAAAATATTTTCTTAAAAAAATTCTGCGTTAAAGCGTAAATGGAATTTGAGAAACATTAAAAATCCTCACTGAGGCGAGTTTAGCCATCCCCTTCTACATCTGAAAGCCTCTACAAGGTTTGCGCAGACTATTTAAAAAGTGAACCAGTTGTGCGCATGAAACTAAATTCTTTTTTAAAAGTTATTGAGGGAAATTTATCATATATATTTGATAATTGCATATGTAGTGGTTGACTAGTTAATAAGTCAAACCAATCATATTAAAAAATTAAACAAATATTTAGACATATATTTACAACCACTATCATATTTTTCGTAGATTTTCTATTAAATGCTTCTTTCGTAAACATATTTACCCTTATAGTGGTCTAATCGGATTACCAACAAAAAACCGTGTGGAGGCTTCCAGTTGTAGGGGGAGTTGGATTAGCCGTGTGCGTATTCCCTATAAGGTCCCATCTTTTTTTAGTATATAAAAATACTGCGGATGTAGTAGATATTGACAATTTTAACCTTTATCTATGAAAAGGTACCCCCATCATGGAATCGTGTCAACATACTTCATATGCTAATGAATAGGAATTGTATTTTTGTGGTGGTAGATACACTACAGAACTTCCCCATCAGAATTGTATCTGTGATAGAATTCGATGGACAGACAACGCTAGTTGATTAATTGCTGTTTTGTGAGAAGCCGGCAGAGATGTAATAACATCACCGAACATTTTGCTGATCGTGAGAGCTGTATTAAGTTCACGGTCGTGGTTGCTTCTGTGTTGCCATTAGCTGTCGAGTGTATGCAGGCCGATGTTGTGTGCGATCGACACTGAGTATCAATAGCGAGAAGAGGTTGATAATGTCACAGTCACAGGTCAATTGTTCAAAATGGACCATAAATCGAAGTAGACTTGTTCAGATCGATCATTGTTTTTGACATGTGAAATAACTAGATATTAGTAAAAAACGTTTCGTCCACGAAATGAACGGATTACAATTTCAAACAAAAATGACATGATTTTTTTTTTTTTTTTTTTTTTTTTTTTTTTTTTTTTTTTTTTTTTTTNTTACTCAAGGGATTCAGATCGAAGGTTTATAGTTTATGTTATGAATGAGAAGGAAAAAAAAAAGAAAACGATTTATACGGAAAGAACAAGCAAGATTTCTGTTTTACTTCCAGCGAAAATAAATAAAAAAAATAATAATAAATCATAGAATATTATTAAAAAAAATTCTAAAGTTTTGGTTCTCTTACTTATTATTAGCATACACTTTTGCAACTGGAATCGATATTTATTTTAAGGAATTTATTTTTTTTTCCTTACAGCTGCTTGTCCCTTCAAATTTCAGTGCGACGATGGATATTGTATTGATGAATTGTATGTTTGCGACGGAGAAAATGATTGCAAAGATAACAGTGACGAACGTGATTGCCATGCCAGAGTATGTGACTCAGAAACTGAATTTCGATGTCAAAGCGGGCAATGCGTCCGGAAATCATTCATATGTGATAGATATTCTGACTGTGAAGATGACAGTGACGAATACAATTGCAGTAAATACAAATTTATCTATAGTTTAAAATATTTGGAAGTTCCGAATCTGCTCGCTTCGCTCTCCAAGTCCCCAGATAGCAAAAAAATGTTTATTTCAACTCACCAAAACCCTTTTATTGTAAACCTAAAAAAGTTTGTAATGCGGTTTACGTGTAAGCTATCTAACCTTAAAATGAGATCTGTGACCATCTTCTCTATTTTACGCACATTATCCTAATCCAGTGTTTCCCAAAGTGTGGTTAGCATACCGCCAGGAGTACGGGAACGGTTTAGCTGAGGTACACGTTCTTATGCGAAATATTTTACAACAAACGAGAATTTCAAAAAATGTTATTTAAAAACAAAGCTAACCATGGAAATTTACGATTACGTATTTTTCTATTGGCTAATTTTTGAAGAGTTAACTTTCAATAATTGTGGTGTCAACATCCAGTCGTGACTTTTAACATTTTTTCAAATTTTTTATAGCAAAAAATACATCCATATTTTCATTAATGGTATAAAGCGTTACGAAAAATTTAGAAATGGTACACAAAATTCACAAGTTTGGGAAACACTGCTAATCCGAAACCTTGAAAACAACCTTATATATAAAAACCTTAAATCGAGGTTGTCTCAGCGTGAAAAGAAATCCTTCAACAAAGCTAGCCTCAATTTGAAAATAATCTTATATATAGGAAGTTATAAGATTTATTTTCGTAAAGTCTGGTATGCTTATCTAAAATCCACCTTGTCTTGAAATTTTAGTCGACAATGCAATTTGATCCCATCACTAGTGTGACGTCAGCTAAAATGTTATTAAGGACCTTAAGTAGCAATACTTTTTAAAAAAGCTTCAAAAAATAATTTTTAATCCTTTTTGGATGAAAGGTTTGATACTGCAGTATATTTCTTTATTGAAAAAAGGTTTTTAGTGCAAACATTTTCGTGACAGAAAAAAGAAAGCTCCAACACAAGATTGACGTAAGGTTACATTCTTTCTCGGTGGAAAGGGAAAATAAGAAATTAAACTGAAAGAAAAGAGAAGCAAGCTAACTATTTTACCTCCAGCGAAAATAAAAATATAGAAAAATCATAGAATGCTATAAGAAAATCAAAGTTTTGGTTCTCTTACCTATTATTAGCCAACATATTTGTAACTGATTTCGATATTTATTTTAAAGAATTTATCTTTTTTGTTACAGCTGCTTGTCCATTCCAATTTCAGTGTGANGCAGAGTCAACTTTCAATAATTGTCGTGCCAACATACAGTTGTGATTTTTAACATTTTTTCGAATTTTTTATAGCAAAAAATAGATCCATATTTTCATTAGTGGTACACAGCGTTACGAATAATTTAGAAAGGTCACACAAAATTCACAAGTTTGGGTAACACTGCTAATCCGAAACCTTGAAAACAACCTTATATATAAAAACGTTAAATCAAAGTTGTCTCAGCGTGAAAGAAAATCCTTCAACAAAGCTAGCCTCAAGGTGACAATAATCATATATATATAGGTATTTATAAGATTTCTTTTCGTAAAGTTTGGCATGCTTATCTAAAATCCACATTGTCTTGAAATTTTAATGGACAAAGCAATCTGATTCTATCGCTAGTGTGACGTCAGCTAAAATGTTATTAAGGACCTTAAGTAACAATACTTTTTAAAAAAGCTTTAAAAAATAATTTTTAATCCTTTTAGGATTAAAGGTTTGATACTGCAATATTTTTCTTTATTGAAAAAAGGTTTTTAGTGCAAACATTTTCGTGACAGAAAAAAGAAAGTTCCAACACAAGATTGACGTAAGGTTACATTCTTTCTCGGTGGAAAGGGAAAATAAGAAATTAAACTGAAAGAAAAGAGAAGCAAGCTAACTATTTTACCTCCAGCGAAAATAAAAATATAGAAAAATCATAGAATGCTATAAGAAAATCAAAGTTTTGGTTCTCTTACCTATTATTAGCCTACATATTTGTAACTGATTTCGATATTTATTTTAAAGAATTTATCTTTTCTGTTACAGCTTGTCCATTCCAATTTCAGTGTGACGATGGATATTGCACTGATGAAATGTATGTTTGCGACGGAGAAAATGATTGCGATGATAACAGCGACGAACGCGATTGCCCTGCCAAAGTATGTGACTCAGAAACCGAATTTCAATGTAGAAGCGGGCAATGCATCCGGAAATCAGACGTGTGCAATGGAGTATTTGACTGTGAAGATGACAGTGACGAATACAATTGCAGTAAGTCAAACTTCATCTGTATTTTAAAACATTTGGAAGCTTCGAATCTGCTCGCTTCGCTCCCCAACTCCCCAGACCCAGTTAGCGAAGAAGAAAGAAAAAAAGATTTATTTTAACTTACCAAAACCCTTTTATTGTAAATCTAAAAAGGTTTGTAATGCTGTTTACGTGAAAGCCTTCTTACCTTAAAACGAGATCTGTGACCATCTTCTCTATTCTACGTACATTACTCTAATCCAGTGTTTCCCAAAGCGTGGTTCGCTTACCCCTAGGGGTACAGGAACAGTTTAGCGAAGGTTCGTGTTCTTTTGCGAAATATCTTGGAACAAACAAGAATTTCAGAAAATTTTATTAAAAAACAAAGCTAGTTACGGAAATTTACAATTGCGTCTTTTTCTATGGGCTGTTTTCTGCAGAGTTAACATTGATTGATTGATTTGTTCATTTATGTCGCTTTAGAGCTGCACTATCTGCTACTGGCGACGGTCTGAGATACATACATGTGGATGATCCGAAGACATGCCATCAGAATTTTGATCCCTTGCAGAGGGGATGGCACCCCTGCTTCGGTAGCCCGACGACCTGCACGCGAATTCGAGCACTTTACTTTAGAACTGTTTAACGAATACCAATACCGCACACCCATGGTCCCTACGCAGACTGATCCAAGTTGTCACCAACCCCAACACTGACAGCAGTCAGTGATGCTTGACTTCGGTGATCTGCTGGGTCTTAACGATCAGTCCACTGCGGGACGAGTTAACATTCAATAATTAGTGGTGTCAACGGCTAGTTGTGATTTTTAACTTTTGTGCAAATTTTTTGTAGTAAAAAATACACTCATTTTTTCATTAGTGATGCACAGCGTTACGAAAAATTTAGAAAGATTACACAAAATTCACACACGGCTCTTCCAAAATCTCGGAAAACAGCCTTATATATAAAAACCTTAAATCTTGGTTGTCTCAGCGTGAAAAGAATTCTTCAATAAAGCTAGCCTCAAGGTGAAAATAATCTTATATAGAGGTAATTATAAGGTTTCGTTTCGTTAAGCCTGGCACGCTGAGCTAAAATCCAGCTTGTCTTGAAATTTTGATGGACAATGCAATTCGATGATATCGGATATGTGACGTCAGCTAAGACATCATTAAGGATTCTAAGGGGTAATACTTTTTAAAAAGCTTTAAAAAGTAATTTTTCATCCTTTTAGGATGATATGTTTGAAGTTGCTATATTTTTGCTTTATTGAAAAAATGTTTTTGGTACAGATATTTTCGTGACAGAAAAAAGAAAATTCCGAACAAGGTAGATGTAAGGTTACATATTTTCTGGGTGGGAAGGGAAAAAAGAAAATTGAACTATAAGGAAAGGGAAGCAAGCTAACTGTTTTACTTCCAGCGAAAATAAAAATGTAAAAAAATCATAGAATATTATAATAAAGAAAAGAAGAAAAAATCAAAAGTTTTGGTTCTCTAATCGGGGAAACCTGTTTGTCCGCGCATGCGCGCACTGTTACGAGAGCTTCGCAGAGCAGAAGATGCTTTCATGTTAAAGACAACAGCAGCTTTCTCTTTGCGGGAATTTTCCCCTTTATCTACCTATAACTTTTCTATGTCATGTGTGTGTCTAAATAAACGATTGAAAAGACACATTGTCTGTCAATTATTCACTTATTAATGAATAGCTTTCATCATCTCTATATCTCTAATATCTTAATCACTATTATTATTCTACCTTTTTGTAACTGATATCGATATTTATTTTAAAGAATTTATTTTTCTGTTTAAGCTTGTCCATTTGGATTTCGGTGCGACGATGGATATTATTGTCTTGATGAATTGGAGATTTGCAATGGAAGGCGAGATTGCGAAGATTACAGTGATGAACGCAATTGCCATGCTAGAGTTTGTGACTCAGAAACCAAATTTCGATGTAGAAGCGGGCAATGCGTCCGGAAATCAGACGTGTGTGATGGAATATTTAACTGTGCAGATGGCAGTGACGAATACAATTGCAGTAAATAAAATTTTATTTGTAGTTCAAAATATTTAGAAACTCCGAATCTGCTCGCTTCTTTTCCCAAATCCCCAGACGCAGATATCAGAAAAAGATTTATTTTAACTCACCAAAACTCTTTTATATTAAACCTAAAAAAGGTTTGTAGTGCGGCTGTAGGCCTTCTAACCTTAAAACGAGATCTATGACCATCTGTTCTATTCTACGCACATTACCCTAATCCAAAACCTTTGAAAACAACTTCTATATAAAAACCATAAATCTTGGTTGTCTTAGCGTGTAAAAAATCCTTCAATAAAGCTATCCTCATTTTGAAAATAATCTCATATATAGGTAATTATAAGGTTTCTTTTCGCAACGCCTTGTATGCTCCACTAAAATTCTGACGCCAACTAAAACATCATTATGGATCTAAGCGACCATTATACCTACGTGACAATACTTCTAAAAAAAACGTTAAAAATAATTTTTAATAATTTTAGAATGAAAGGTTTGAAACTGCAATATTTTTGCTTTATTGAAAAAAGGTTTTTCGTACAGATATTTTTGTGACAATAAAAAGAAAATTCCGACGCAAGGTTTGCCATAAGGTTACATGCGTTCTGGGTTTTGTTTTATTTGTCCATTTTGTTTTGTTACTTTTGACATTAAATCAAGCGCGAGATAATAAATTAATAATTTCAAGAGCGAGACACATTTTTCGACGCTGATGAATAAATAATCATTATTTAATACAAAAAGCAAAAAGAAAAGAGAACAGTAAAAATAATTTTTAATCATTTTAGGATGAAAGGTTTGAAACTGCAATATTTTTACTTTACTGAAAAAAGATTTTTCGTACAGATATTTTCGTGACAATAAAAAGAAAATTCCGACGCAAGGTTTGCCATAAGGTTACATGCGTTCTGGGTTTTGTTTTATTTGTCCATTTTGTTTTGTTACTTTTGACATTAAATCAAGCGCGAGATAATAAATTAATAATTTCAAGAGCGAGACACATTTTTCGACGCTGATGAATAAATAATCATTATTTAATACAAAAAACAAAAAGAAAAGAGAACAGTAAAAAAATGTGCGTATTTACTGCTTTACGTAAATTTTTTTCGCACGTTAAAATTGCTATAACTTTTCAAACAAAATAGAATTTCGAAAAAACATTACCTAGAGTTAATTTTATAATTGAAAATTGCCCAATCAGCATGTCAAATTTCAACTCCGTCATTTAGTGGGTCAGTCCACATAGTTTTTTTTTTTTTTTTTTTTAGTTTTNTTTTTTTTTTTTTTTTTTTTTTTTTTTTTTTTTTTTAAACTTCACGTTTTATCTTGACATAGTTGATACAGACTTGACATAGTAGAAAAGTCTCGAACAAATAATCGAATCTTAAATTTTTCTTGTAAAATCTAATTCCTTATTTTTTCCCTACATCTTCGTGATTTCAAGTTTTTAAGTCTTTGTGCGCAGCAAAACGCAATGTTAAGTCGAGCACCCGAAACAGCGGACGCCCTTACGATAGTTAATAATTCTCTAAACTTAGTCAGAAAATTTGGAAACGCTTTGAGCCACAATAGCGCGCAAATTGTCTACTACTTTAATACGAGGCCTTGTTGAACCATATTGTCATGCAAACTTAAACAGCTTACGCATGACCGCAGGGGAAATTAAAGTTCAACTTGACATTTCATTGACATTCTCATTTTTTACATAATATTCACAAATTGCAATATTATGGGCCCATTGACTTTGATTGAGACTTTACGTTGAACCAATTTTTTGAGGGTACATTTTACAAGGCGAGTCAAGGCTGCTTCTGTTGTTTGCCAAAGACGTTACAGGTATTTTAGTTATTTCGTTTCGTCTTTGAAGGTATGAGTTTCTGAAGCATTTGATGTCGCATTAGCGATAAACCTTTTTAATTTGGAGCTATAAACTATCATGCTAGTCTATAATTGACCTTAGCGAAAGTCTTTTTTCCCCCATTAAATGAAGAAAGAAATTAAAATGCGATAAGAACTTTTTGTATTTTAATTACGTTCATTAATTAGCTTCGGAAATGAGTATACCGCTGCTTCGAAACAGATCTTTAAAACTGCTTCCTGTATCGAAATTACCATTTATTATTATTTTAATGTGATTAGCGATATGAAAACTAGCCATTTCGAAAAGTATTCCAAATTAAATAATAACTGAGGAATATTGTTAATTCAATGATTTTGTTTTATCTAATGCACTGATTCATACGAAACACAAAAAGCGCCAGAAAGCTATGTAGTAAACTTTTTTTTATTCTAAATTTGTAATTTAAACAGGGAAAACAACACCGTAGTCATGTAATTTTGGACCCAATCCAGAGGACAAAGGAACTCCTGGATCAAATAGTGGGAGATGTTTTTTCAGTCTTTGAATAGAATTGGCAGGCAAAACTTCAAAATTCAAATTCAAAGCGCCCATTAAATATGTACTTATTTGCATTTAATATCGAAGTTTGTCTTCTGATTTTTTATCGTTAGTTTCCAAATTGTTGATTTTTTTTATGATAAAATTTTTCTTTCATTTAGATGGTGTGAAAAAAGAATCTACTGATATCGACAGTGTTACTGATGATACTGTATTTGAAGAACTGGAACATTCAAGTTTCACAGACTTTTTCAAGAGTCTTTTCAAGCGAAATTCAACCAAATCTTAATACTTCAAATTAAAAATTATCAAAATGTTTGATTCTTTTAAATCTCAATATTTATTGCTATTGATGTTCAATCAGAAGAACACTTTATATTTCTGAATTTAAATAAAAAATTCAATGAAGAAATAGAAAATAGTATATAGGTTTGAATTTATATACACTTATAGCAAGTACATTATTTTTAAAACAAAAATTTACGTTTGATGAAGTGTTTAATTTTCTTATTTTTAATATATTTAATATATATAATATATTTAGTTAAATATAATTATTTTTTCCTTTACTGAAAAAGTTTATTTTAAAAGATCAAGCGATTTTCGAACGTTTTCGAACAATTGAATAGATATTGGGTTTCCACTACAATTATCCTTAAATATAGTTGCTTTAATAGTTGCTTTTCAGATAGCGAAATAATTTATATTTTCTCCCAGAAAAACCTTTTAATATAAGCCTAAAAAGGTTTGTATATTTTGGTACCGTTGAGTATTTAATATATCTCTGGTACCGTATATTTTGTAATACAGAACTACTAGAACATGATGATAGTAAAAAGTTTAATACTTTCTCTAAAGCGTTACTTTAAACATTACAAGACAGAGTTTATAAATAATTTTAAAAAAACTTTCCAAGCAAAACCCACGCAATTGGTACATAAAAAATTTCTCCCCTTTTTATAATTTCCAATAAAAAAATAAGTACAATTTGATATTAATGATAAAATTTTTAAAATATTTACCATGTAATTTAGTCTTTATTAACTCTAAAAAGACTGAAACTTAATATATACCTATACTGACCGAAAATAGTCGAAATCTGAAAGAATAACTAATGTGTAAAGAAATTTGTTTAAAATTAATTTCTAATATTTTTTATATTATTTCAAGCTATATAACAAGTTATTAGTAAATATTACCATTCAAAAAATTACTTCGTTTGAAAAAAATATTAAAAAGAATAAAAATTATAAAGTCTTTTATCTAGACATTTTAATTAATTTCCTGTTGTTGATACACCCTTTTGTAAACTTCCTCATTTACTGCTTGTTAAGGCAAATCATTATTTGCTATTTTTTAAATATTAATTCATTTGTAAGTTGAATATTCAATTGTATACAATGGCTCTGCGCATAATAATTGCTTTGTTGATCATCATTGTAGTATCTTCAACGAAAGGTAAGTTGGAAGCATGATAAACATACTTTTAATTTATATTTAATTATTGAAATATAAAATTTTAAAAGTTTTTATGGAGTGAACTTGGGAGAAAATAAAATAATTTTTTGCTAGATCGAAAATGAATAACGTAGGTCCAATCACTTTTGAAAGACATGGCGGAGTTTTCGGTTGACCTCTAACCTCCTCAGAACCAATAAACCATTATACTGCCATTTTTTTCCAGTTTATGATATGATTAAATATTTTTGGGATTGTGATTGATTTTCTAAATAAAATTAATTGAGTTTATTACTCAAAAACTAATTTGATTTTTAAAACTATTTTTTTGGAATTTAAAATTCTTTCCTACTGAAAAGAGTTGGCAGTAAACCTGGACAGTGAAATAACGGCGCATAGCGTGCGAGAGAAAGTAGTTCTCTAATGTTGATCTCTTGATCTCACTCAAACCTTTATTGTTACCCGCATTTAAGTTGAAGAAAATCCTTCATTGTTTTTTCCCTTCTTTTTATTCCCTGAGTTTATCTGTAGATGGTCGAACGAATCATAGGTTGGAAAAATAGTTTCCCATCTTTATTTAAAGTTTGAATTTGGTGATAAGTATAGTTACCAAAGCCTTATAAGGGGTCAAATAATAGGAAAAAGTGCGATTTTTAGTAAGATATTGTACCTCAGGCGAATAAACTCACAAATGCGCTAATGTTTTTAAATTCAATAAATTAACTTAATTATTTTTTAATGATGTTTAATTACAGTCCACCCCGCGCCTAAAGGAATACCATTGGTTGTAGCCTATTCTATTCAATTAAGCGGGTTATTCGATTAAAAAGGAAGTGCTTTATTCAATCTTAAATTACAAATTTTCGAAAAATTTCCTTATTAAATGGTATTTAATGCATAGTGTAGTTTTTTAATCATAAATAAACTATTTTTTGGATCAGTAAACAATTGTAATTAAAACTGTCTGTGTCAGCATCATAAAATATGAATGTTATTTGAGCGATGATTGCACTTCGTTAAGCAATGATTATTCTACTTAAGAGAAAGAAACACTGGACACTAGTGTGTTAGGTTTCTGAAACCTTTTCTTATCAAAACTATAATAGCGCACTAGGAGGGGACTGCTTGACCACAAAACAAATTATTCTTTACTTTTTTTGCATTCCAAAATGATGTGTGAGTTAATTAACTCAAAAAAATGGTAAAAACCCTTTTTTACTTCATGTATTACTTCATGTCCAGCAAGGTTAGATTTGTTCTTACACTATACCCCTAATAATCAGAATACTCCTAATAATCAGGTAATTAGAATGTAGAGCAAACTAATGAACAAGAAGTCCCTATTAAAGTAACCACCTATTGTATTCTTATTTTCTGTACTTTTTTTACATTTTAAAATGAGGTGTGAGTGAAGTAACTCAAAAAATGGCAAAAACTCTTTTTTACTTCATGTATTACTTCATGTCCAGCAAGGTTAGATTTGTTCTTACACTATACCCCTAATAATCAGAATACTCCTAATAATCAGATAATTAGAATGTAGAGCAACTAATGAACAGGAAGTCCCTAATAAAGTAACCGCCTACTGTATTCTTATTTTCTTAACTGAAAAATGGAAATTCCATTCTTACTGGTGAATGGTCTCATTTTTAAAAAATTAATTTTTCTCCTAAGTACCTCTTCTTTCTGCAATTAAACGGATACTTGTTAACCAATCAACAAGTATTCGTTTAAATAAGGAGATTTACCATTAGTTTAATATATTATAATTTGGTTCTGTTATTGTTTATTCGTATAAGCGGGGTATTCGATTATCCGATATGCAATTAAGTGGGGACAACTGTATTACATAAAAATGATTCATTTTAGTTTTTAGAATTTTTTTGCACATTGTCGGATATTTTTCTTCACATTTTGATCATGAAACTCAACTCAATAATAAGATGCTTGTATGCATGAGAGATTGATTGAATCGAATCTTATTTTTCTTATAATTTTTCTATGTAATTAAAAATTGTGACTAATGATGGTAAATTGAATTAAATTTCTATACAGTGTAGAAATATAAAAAAACTTCTTAATCCATGTTTTTTTTTCATTCTTTACTTCTCCTTATCTCTTACGTAATCAAATTAACCAAACTGTCCAAGTTAAAATATATTGGACGAGTTGTCTGACGTGGTTATTATGAAAGTGCACCCAACTTTTTTTTGTCTGCTAAAAATAGATTTGTTTTATAATAGCAAAATAAGGTTTATTTTCACTTAGCAAAAACCCTTTCATGTAAACCAAAAAAGGTTTGTAATGCTGTTTACGTGTAAACCTTCTAACCTTATACTGAAATCCATGACAATCTACTCTATTTTAAACTCATTACCCTATTCCAAAACCTTGGAAAACAAACCTTCTCTATAAGAAATTTAAATCGAGATTGACTTAACATGAAAAAATCCTTTAATAAAGCAAGTCTCAATGCGAGCATAATCTTAAATCTAGATAATTATAAAGGTTTCTTTTCGCAACGTCTTGTATGCTCAGCTGAAATCCACCTTGTTATAAAATTTTAATGGACAACGCAATTTGATCCTATCGCTAATGTGACGTCAGCTAAAACGTCATTACGGACCCATGTGACCTTTTCACCTAAGTGACAATACTCTTTAAAAAAAAAGCTTTAAATTATAATTTTTGATTCTTTTAGGGTGAAAGGTTTGAAACTGCAATATTTTCGCTTTATTTGAAGAAAGGTTTTTAGTACAAACATTTTCATGGCAATAAAAAGAAAATTCTGACACAAAGCTGCCGTAACGTTACATACTTTCAGGGATTATTTAAACGACTAGGAGGCTCCGCCCCCTGCTCGCTAACGCTCGCCAACCCCCGAGAATTGCTACGCTATCCTATGTGATTCACGCCGTGAGCCATGGCTCGCTGCGCACGCTTGCCAATGAACATAATGTTCTAGCACAAAGACATAATATATTATCATCAAAGACATAGTATTTTATCATCAAAGACATAGTATTGTACTTATGTAGAAGAATTCTACCAATGTTCTTATTGGCAGTTAAAAAAAGTATATTAGCTATTTAGATTGTACATGGTGAAAAAATCAAAACATTAGCTAAATAAGAAACATATTAGCAAAATAAATTATCAAATATTGCTTCACTAATATTCTGCATTTTAAAGCGTGAAAATTCAATGCATAAATAAACGCGAAATATAAAAAAATTCAATGCATTCAATACAAACACTTAAACGTTTTTTAGACGTTTAGGTAGCTCCCAGTAGAAAAATATCAATTCAACAATGGCCTTTTAAAGCATTCTCACTTCAATTAATTAATTAATTCCTAATTGAGTTTAAATATTGTCATGTTTTTAGTGCATGAATCCGAATTGAACAACCTGATAATGCTCATTCTGGTAATTGTTATCTGGTTGCTCACTACGTGCTTTTGCACGCCGAATCCAATCAATTAAAAATGAAAACTGTTGCCAGCGCGAGAAAAGAAATATCATCGGTTTTATTGATACATACATACATACGTACGTATTAGCGTTTTATATAATATAGATTATGCCGGCAGGACTCTCACTAAAGTTTTTGCAAATAAGCTAGAGTGCTGCTCGTAATGCTTTTGGAGTCGCATTCATATGTCAGTTCTGACGGTGGATAAAAAATAGAAACGAAAATCAAACAGTTTAAGATTTGGTGGAGTTAAGATTCGTCCCTTGACGCAGATCGAATACTGGTGACCACTCATATATATATATATATATAGATATTTGGATTTTNATATATATATTTCTGATTCTCTAATGACAAGCAGAAATATATTTTGATACTCTTTACTTATAAAAACAGTCAATCAATTATTTAAATAAAATCCATTAGATTATCGGAATTATATTTGTACTAAAGTATAAAAAAAGTGGTATTACATTTTTTTTCTATTCATCTTCAAATATTTATCAATAAATGATTTTTTGAAACTAAAGAAATTTCTATGTTGAATAACTTATTTCTTTCAGAGTCAAGTAATAGCAAATAAGTGCAGATTTGAAAAATTATTGGAAATGAGCTGTGATTAGAAGATTCTCAGACACCGGTTAGAATACTCGAAAAAATACACCAGTCATTCTTTCTATATTTCATAACTACAAATTATCAAAAAATAAAATTTTTCAATTATTTTGACCTAAATTAATACAAAATGGTGAAAAATATTTTTAATAAAAATTCTGCGTCAACGGGTTACATACTGGAATCTGAGAAACATTAAAAATCCTCACTGAGGTGAGTTTAGCCGCGTTAAACTTGAACTGCATAAAATATCTGGGGACCTGAGGCCCTTTTCTCATTTATCTTGAGCTTGAATTGTTTGGTACTTCTCTGAGGTTGTGGAATGCAACTGAAATAAAGGAGTTTAGCCGTGTCCGTATTCCGATCTTTTTTTAGTTCCGTTCTTTAAGTAAGTTAAGATCCCATATTTTTTTAGTATTTAAAAATACTGTGGAGGTAGCAGATATTGACAATGTTAACCTTCATCTATGAAAAAGTGCCCCATCATAGAATCGAGTTAACATGTTGGGATGTTGCTACATCACACGTGCGACGATATTCTACTCCTCAATAGTTTTTTTCAGTTTTCGTTCATTTAACCACAATAGCCTTTCACGACATTTAACTTGATTAATTGTTTTTTTTCATATCGATAAGCCCCACCTTAACTTAAACGAATCGCGCATTGCTTTTTTCCGCTTGCCTTCTTGGCGTCAATTGAGGAAGCCACCTTGTGAATGATACGTGATTTTCGACTTAATAACTTCTAGGCACCTGCCTTTACTTTATATTAACTTTTATATCCCTATTCATAAAAAAAGGAGGAATCAGCAACATGCATAAATTTGGGTATTTTGAAACTCAACATCTGAATGAAATGCTACGTGAACAAGTGTGTGCCAACGCCAATGGTTGGCGCGTTTCCCGATAGATGAAAATGCCAACTGGATGCATCTATACATCTATACATAATAATAAACGCGGCTGTGTGTGTGTCTGTTTGTCTGCAATCACAATATATCGCCCCAGAAGCCTCGCCCAGGCACGAATGTCGGCACATAAATGTGTTTTGACATAATGAAGAATTTTTTTTTCTTTTTAAAAATTTAGATTAGTTGTTTAGTTATCAGTCATTTTGTAAGAAAATCTATGCTTTTTCGTCTTCAAAGAGTATTTCGTATTCCAATAACTATTAAAAAATGCATGTACTTTTCTCCACTCTTATAAATGTATGTTAATGCGAACCTTACAATTGAAATATTAATTTTTGACAACTTAAACCAATAATATACGAAGGAATTAATAATTTAATTGTAAGGTTCGCATTAGTTTATATTTATCAAAGTGGAGAAAAAGTTTAACTTTTGTCTGCAGAGAACTGGATATGAAGACAAAATTGCAGGACAGGAACACTTTAATTGTCCACTAATCTTCAGATTTCCTGCTATGTTTTAAAAAACTTTATTTGTGAAAACCTTTAGCGTGGCGGACAGCTGGCCGCCTTAGGCGGCTAGTATGTAAATATTTTAAAGAATGTAAATATATCTGAGATTTTCTGCCTGGAAAGGAACTACTTTTAACTCTCCAAAGATCATGATCCAGAACCTGCTAATAGTGTGAAATTTAAACGTGAACAATCAAAGGAGCCACCTGCATCCCTGAACCCATGAAGAAAGCGAAATAATCGTTAAGTCGAGAGTCACGTTTCATTCACATGGTGGCTTCATCAACTGACGCTAAGAAGGCACGCGAAAAAAAGCAATGCTCTACTCGGTTAAAGTTAAGGTGGGGATAATCGATACGAAAAAATCAATTGATCAAGTTAAATGTAGTGGAAGGCTATTGTGGTTAAATGAACGAAAACTGAAAAAAAAACTATTGAGGAGTAGAATATCGTCGCACGTGTGACGCAGCAACATCACACATGTTTCATATACTCATTCATTGTATTTTTGTAGTGGTACATACACTACAGTACTCACTCACCAGAATTATATCTTGTGATTGTGATAGAATTCGATGAACAGACACTACTAGTTGATTCATTGCTGTTTTGCGAAAACCCGGTAGAGCTGTATTAAAATTATCGTAAATTTTGCTGATCGTGAGAGTTGTATTAAGTTCACGGTCGTGGTTGCTACAGCGCTGTTATTAGCTGTCGAGTGTATGCAGGCTGATATTGTGTGTGAACGAGACTGAGTAGCAACAGCGCGAAGAGTTTGCTAATGCTGCAGTCACAAGTAAATTGTTCAAAGTGCGCGTTTTGTCAGGAAAGGCGCCATTACATTACGCCCAAAGGTTACCATTGTGGAGGTAGTGGATATCGACAATGTTAATCTTCGTCTATGAAAAGGTACCCCATCATAGATTCGTTCGTTCGTTGTTTTAGAACTGGGCATCTGAGGCCTAAATGGCCCTTATCTCATTCATCATGAAATATCCCAAAGGGACATACATAGTAAAGTTGTATTGAAAGTTCGGAAAAGAACCTGAAATGCGATAAAATAATGAAAGGCATGAAAGATGTATCAGGCTTGATGGTGAGGCTCCTCATCTACGTCTTTAGGGCTGGGAGCAGGGAGAGGAGTAATGAGATGATTTTCTCGTCTTTCAAAAGTTCCTGAAGTTCTTTGATGATCCTTAGGAACTTCACTGCTCTGCTGGGGCATCTTGTGGTCTACGCGTGAAGGTGCGATGATTTCGCCTCGGCCGAGCACCACAGCCCGTAAAACAGGCCGGGTGATCGCCTTGACAATTGATGCATTTGGCCGGAAGGGAGAGAGGCTTCACGCACTGGTGGGAAAAATGTGCTCCTAAACATTTCATGCAGGCTGGATTACTTGAGCATGCTTTCTGTGTATGTCCAAATTTTTGGCACTTGTATCATTGGATGCCGTAACGCTCCTTGTTAAATTTCTCGATATGGACTGGAAAGGACAGTAGATTCTTTGTGAAAATAAAGTCCCGATGTTCTGGGAAGTCATGGAGTATCACTAGAAAAAGGGGGAGGAGCTTGTATCCGTTATCATGCCTCTTTCTTAGTTGCTCTATCTTGATGGGTCGTCGACCATTGTCCTCTATATCTTTCCGAATATCTTCCATTCGGCTGTCTACTGTAAGGCCTCGCACGAGAAATTTAAGTTTTCTCGGGGGGTAATTGTTCTTGGTCGGTGTAGAAGGCTCCGTCAATTCTGGTTTGGATGAAGTGATCTCAGGTGTTGACTCAAGATGGGTAGAAATGGTCTCCTGGCTTCCGCTGGCATTTCGGCTTTCCTTTTTTCTCTTCCTCGGTCTTTCGGGGAACGATACTTTACCCCATCATAGATTCGAATTAACATGCTTTATTTACTGATTAATTGAAATTATATTTTTGTAGTGGTAGATACACTACAATACTACAGAAATCATTGGATACGAAAAAGAAAATTTATACAAAATATATGACGCATGAAATTTCCTATAAACAATATAAACGGGAAAATTGATCAATAAATAAGGAAGTAACGAGAGTTGAAAATAGGTAAAATAACGTTAAAATGTCATTTTTCAAAGTAATTTTTTTTGACATGAAAAATGACTAGATATTAGTAAAAAATGTTTCTTGCACGAAATGAATACAATTTCATACGAAAATGACATGAAAACTTTTTCTTCAACTCAAAGGATTNAATATAGTCCCAACGAAAGTAAATAAAAAATAATGAAAAATCATGGAATATTGTTTAAAAAAAATTATAAGTTTTAATTCTCTTCCATTAGCCTACTTTTTTGTAACTGCAATAGTTATTTATTTTAAAGAATTTATTTTTTCTTCTTACAGCTGCTTGTCCCTTCAAATTTCAGTGCGACAATGGAAATTGTATTAACGAAAGGTATGTTTGCGACGGAGACAAAGATTGCGAAGATAGAAGTGACGAACGTGATTGCCATGACAGAGTATGTGACTCAGAAACCGAATTTCGCTGTAGAAGCGGGTATTGCGTCCGGAAATCAGACGAATGTGATGGAATACTTGACTGTGGAGATGACAGTGACGAATACAATTGCAGTAAATAAAACTTTATCTGAAGTTTTAAATATTTGGAACCACTGAATCTGCTCGCTTCGCACTACCCAGACCCAGATAGCAAAAAAATGTTTATTTCAACTCACCAAAACCCTTTTATTATGAACCTTATAAGGTTTGTTATGCTGTTTATGTGTAAGCCATCTAGCATTAAAACGAGATCTGTGTCCATCTGCTCTATTCCACGCACGTTACCCTAATCCATTGTTTCCCAAAGTGTGGTAAGCCTACCCCGGGGGCACGGGTACAGTTAAGAGAAGGCACGTATTCTTAAGCGATATATCTTGCAACAAAGGAAAATTTCAATAAATTTCATTTAAATCAAAGCTAGTCATAGAAATTTACGATTACGTATATTTCCATTGACTATTTTGTTGCAGAGTTAACATTCAATAATTAGTGATGTCAACAGCTAGTTGTGATTTTTAATTTTTGTGCAAATTTTTTTTAGTAAAAAATGCATTCATTTTTTCTTTAGTGGTACACTGTTACGAATAATTTAGAAAGGGTACGCAAAATTCATAAGTTTGGGAAACACTGCTATTCCAAAACCTTGGAAAACAATGTTCTATATAAAAGCCTTAAATCGAAGTTCTCTCACCATGAAAAAAATCCTTCAATAAAGCTAGCCTCAAGGGGAAAACATCAAGGGGAAGATAATTATAAGATTTCTTTTCGTAAAGTTTGGCATGCTTAGCTAAAATCCACCTTGACTTGAAATTTTACTGGAAAATACAACTTGATCCTATCGCTAGTGTGACGTCAGCTAAAACGTCACTAAGGATCTTAAGAGACAATACTTTTTAAAGAAGCTTTAAAAAATAATTTTTAATCCTTTTAGGATGAAAGGTTTGAAATTGCAATATTTTTTTTTCATTGAATAAAGGTTTTTAGTACAAACATTTTCGTGACAGAAAAAAGAAAATTCCGACACAAGGTTGGCGTAAGGTTACATACTTTCTGAGTGGGAAGGGAAAAAAGAAATTGAACTATAAGGAAAGAGATCTAACTGTGTTATTTTCAGCGAAAATAAAAATGTAAAAAATCCTAAAACATTCCAAAAAAAAAAAAAAATCAAAAGGTTTGGCTCTCTTATCGGGGAAACCTATTTGTCTGCGTATGCGTGTACTATTCATGTTAAAGAGAACGGCAACTTTTTCTTTTCGGGAATTTTCCCCCTTATCTACCTTTATTTTTTCTAGGTCATGTTTTTTTTTTATTTAAACGACTTAAAACTCCTCGTGCACCACAAAGTATGGAATGAGGCTTACAGTTGTAAGTAGAAAACAAAAAGAAGAAAAATTACAAATTTACATTAAAAACAAAATTCCGCAAGGCCGCAAGACTTTCAATACTTATGCTAGGTCATGTTTGCGTCTAAATAAATGATTGAAAAGACACAAGGTCCGTCAATTATTCACTTATATTTTATGAATAACTTTTATCATCCCTATATCTCTGATATCTTAATCACTATTATTAGCCTATCTTTTTGCATTTGATTTCGATATTTATTTTAAAGAATTTATTTTATTGTTACAGCTTGTCCATTCGGATTTCGGTGCGACGATGGATATTATTGTTTTGATGAAAGGAGGGTTTGCGACGGAAGGAAAGATTGCAAAGATAACAGCGACGAACGTGATTGCCATGCCAGAGTATGTGACTCAGAAACCAAATTTCGATGTAGAAGCGGGCAATGCATCCAGAAATCAGCCGTATGTGATGGAGTATCTGACTGTAGAGATAAAAGTGACGAATACAATTGCAGTAAATAAAACTTTATCTTTAGTTTAAAATATTTGGAAGCATTGAATCTGCTCGCTTCGATCCGATCAGCCCAGACCAGGATAGCAAAAAAAAAAGAAAAAAAAAAGGGTTTATTTTAACTCACCAAAACACTTTTATTTTATTTTATCACCGTCGTTGAACAGCCGACCCAATTTCATGGGTTTACGACTACTAACGTTCAACTCCGTAGCCTTGTAATTTTGAACCAATCCAGAAGACAAGGAAACTTCTGGATCAGTACCCCCAGAGGTGTTGATTTGTTGTGGGAACATGGAGGACTTTGAGACTCGACAGATTTAACGTGCATCAGTCACCATTTACTACACGGGGAGTCTTCGGCCGGCGAGGATCAAACCCACGACCTCTTGGATATGGGCCCAGCGCCCTACCGACCAGGCTATCCCGGCCCACAAAACACTTTTATTGTAAACCTAAAAAGGTTTGTAATGCGGTTTACGTGTAAGGCATCTAACCTTAAAACGAGATCTGTGACCATCTTCTTTATTCTACGCACATTATCCTAATCCAGTGTTTCCCAAACTATGGTACGCGTATACCCAAGGGTACGGGAACAGTTTAGCTGGGGTACGTGTACTTATGCGAAATATCTTGGAACAAACGAGAATTTCAAAAAATTTCATTTAAAAATAAAGCTAGCCACGGAAATTTACGATTACGTATTTTTCCATTGGCTATTTTTTCCAGAGTTAACATTCAATATAGTGGGGTCAACGCCAAGTAGTGATTTTAACTTTTGTGCAAATTTTTTATAGTAAAAAATACATTCATCTTTTTATTAGTAGTACACAGCATTGCGAAAAATTTAGAAAGGGTACACAAAATTCATAAGTTTGGGAAACACTGCTAATACAAAACCTTGGAAAACAACATTATATTTAAAAACCTTAAATCGAGGTGGTCTCAACGTGAGAAAAATCCTCCGATTAAGCTAGCCTTAAGGTGAAAATAATCTTAAATCTAGGTAATTATAAGATTTCTTTTCGTAAAGTTTGGCATGCTTAGGTAAAATATACCTTGTCTTGAAATTTTAATGGACAATGCAATTTGATCCTATCGCTAGTGTGACGTCAGCTAAAATGCTATTAAGGACCTTAGCTGACAATATTTTTTAAAGAAGCTTTAAAAAATAATTTTTAATCCTTTTAGGATGAAAGGTTTGAAACTGCAATATTTTTCTCTATTAAAAAAAGGTTTTTAGTACAAACATTTTCGTGATAGTAAAAAGAAAACAAGGTTGACGTAAGGTAGCATACTTTCTGGGAGGGAAGGGAAAAAAGAAATTGAACTATACGGAAAGAGAAGCAAGCTAACTGTTTTACATTTAGAGAAAATAAATAAAATAATAATAAAAAATCATGGAATATTATTAAAAAAAATCAAAAGTTTTGGTTCTCTTACCTATTATTAGCCTATTTATTTGTAACTGGAATCGATATTTATTTTAAAGATTTTTCTTTTTCTTCTTACAGCTTGTCCATTCGGATTTCGGTGCGACGATGGATATTATTGTGTTGATGAAAGGCGTATTTGCGATGGATACAAATCTTGCGAAGATAACAGTGACGAACGTGATTGCCATGCCAGAGTATGTGACTCAGAAACCAAATTTCGATGTAGAAGCGGGCAATGCGTCCTGAAATCATACGAGTGTAATGGAGTGTATAACTGTGAAGATAAGAGTGACGAATCAAATTGCAGTAAATAAAACTTTATTTGTAGTTTAAAATGTTTGGAAGATCCGAATCTGCTCCCTTCGCTCCCCAACTCCCCAGACCCAGATAGCAAAATAAGGTTTATTTTCACTCACCAAAACACTTTTATGGTAAACCTACTAAAATTTGTTATGCGGTTTACGCATAAACCATTTAACCTTGAAATGTGATCTGTGACCATCTGCTCTATTCTACTCACGTTACTTTAATCCAAAACCTTGGAAAACAACCTTATGTATAAAAACATTAAATCGAGGTTGTCTTAGTCCGTTAATTAACTTGAGTATGAACTTGTTCAAAACGGATATTTGAAACTGCTTCCTATTTCGAAATTGCCATTTATTATTATTTTAATGTGCTTTGTGATATGAAGAACCTCGAGAAATATTCCAAATTAAATAATAACTGAGGAATGTTGTTAATTTTCTCGGGATAATAAATATTTGCAATATATATACATACATCAGAGAAGCGGTTAATAAATAAGCGTTGTGAATTAAGAATTTTGAATGAAGGGAGATTCTATGAATTTGTTCCCTGCCATCACTGGTATGCGGGAAAGGAGTCAGGTTCTTTATTCGCCCTCAATTGTGACAGAGCTTTTAAAACCGCAATTTTCAGATTACCAAGTGGTGACACAAAAAGTCTCTCGTTTTTCGAAGGCAGGAGAATCTTCGAGGTCTGTTCCAAATGTCAAACTGAGCAGGCTTCTCCCGAAAACATCCTGGACTGTTTGGGATTTTCCAGAAAGGGCATGCACTTATTCCCCCTTCTGGTCCTCGATTTTATTAGGGTCAACGGTCTGATGAACCTTGTCTGACTTAATCAGGCATTGGAGGATAAGACACAACAACAGCAATCAATTTTGATAAACAGAAAGTTGAGCCACATTTCATAGTGTCTCTACATTTTTCAAGAAAGTAAAAATTTGTTTGTTTCATTAAATTTAGCTGCATCAACCTGCCAAGGTTTTTTCTGTGGAGATGGAAAATGCGTACGTTCTATTCATAGATGTGATAACAAAAAAGATTGCGTTGATGGTTCTGACGAAGAAGGTTGTACTCCTTGGTGTACTGAAAAATATAATTTTCAGTGTGGGGATGGATGCATCCATAAACGCCTCCTCTGTGACGGACTTCAACACTGTTCCAATGGTGTCGATGAAAAAGGCTGTGGTAAGTGACATTTTTAAAATTTACAAAGTGCAAAATAAAGAAAAAGAGATAAATAACTTTAGATCTTATGATTTGGTTTTTCGCGAACTAAAGGCCTGTTTACGCGATCTAAATGCATTGAATTCGTGAAATTAGAGAAATTAGAGGGATTTCACTGTCCAAGAAATTGGATGATTCGTCGACACTTTCCAAGTTCTTGAATGTCACTGATTGGTCAACAGAAAAAGTTGCGCATGCGCAATGCAGGGAATAAAATTTTGCGCATGCGCATTGTTCATATTTAGCAATATAAAATAACACATACATAAGTTTAAAATTACTAAATAATTTCAAATAAAATCATAATAGCATAAATAAACCGTAACAGATCAGTTTATTTGAACTAAAACATATGAGAGCAGACAACGAAATGAAATAAACTGATGCCTGCCTGTTGGCGTCACAAAATCTTAGACGCTGATTGGTTAAGGGAGAAAAAACAAACTTGGATGGAAAATAGAACATGTTCTATTGCCATCCAAGGACTTGGACCAAGCACTTGAATGATCGCTTAGGCGAAACAAGCTTGAACTCAAAGCAAAACAAGTTTCCATCAATATCAATCAATCTTCGTTTAAGAACTTCGATCGTCTATACAGGCCTTAAGGTAAGAGGCTACACTTTGTTAAAAATAGTTGTTCAGATGATATTTTAAGCAATGGAATCAGACTAAAGTGGTAGTATATATATATATGATAACTGTTAGCGTAATTTAACCTTAACCAAAATATTTTCTCCCTTTTAAATAAATAAAGAAAAAGCTGTTTTGACGATGAATTTTAAATGTTTTTCCTCAAAAAATTATGGTTAGTTTATAGAAATTGTTTTAAAGTCATATGGACCAAATGCTATCTGGGAAATATGATTTCACTAGTTTATTCAGGAGAGATTGTTTGGGCTTTTTAATATTATAATTACAATATTTAGGAATTTTTCCTAATCACCATCTATCCTAAAAAAACAAACAAACGCTACCGGAAGTCTTGAGGTCCTCATCTGACGTCATAACATTAAAGTGACTATTTCTTTTTTTGACGATCCGGATTTGTTTGTATATACTAGTGCCCCTTAATTAGACAGTACAGTAGCCTTAGTATATACAGGGAATAATTAGTTTTTCTTAATTTAATTTTTGGGCCGTGTTTTTGTGAAAAAATGTGTTCTTCATATTTCAAAATATCATATAAAGATGTTAAAAAAAAATTGGGAAATTATCCTAAATTCATTTGCAATTACATAATAGTTAAGATGCGTATTTATACAATTTGGTTTACAACAGCAGAAATTTTTCCACCTGAATCTTATACTGGAAGTTGAATCAGCCTCTACAAATGCTTCCCTCTACCGTGGCAAACATGAAACGCTGTTGAGAATAAGATGAATATCTGAAAAAATTCTTAATCGAACCGAAAATTCTTTGCACTCAATTATATAACTCGTTTGTCTTAAGATAGTCCATGCAAAAAATAATCTTTAATAATTATTTGTTACTTTTAATCGTTTGATATAAAGGAATGAGAATAAGTATGAAGCATGCCTTTCAACTTTTACGCGTTTAAAAAAGTTTTTTACAGTGATAGGAAAATGCCTTTTTCACTTGACAATGCGTTTTGTTGAAAATTAGGCAACAATAAAAAACATTTTTAAAGCGCTCTCAGGCCATCTAAGTTTAAATTATTAAAATGTAAAGGTAGTAAAATCACTTTACATCGCCCTTATTTAAACAAGAATAAAATGTTACTATATAAATTTTGCTATCACATTAAATATAGGATCTTCCCCAAAAATCTGAAAATTTTTTCTGGCATATAAGTAAAATATACAGATTTTTGCTTTATTTTAATATACAGATTTTTACTTTAATGCTGAAAACATAGCTTGAAAAGAGGAAGCTTACTACATAGCTTGAAAAGAGGAAGTTTACTACATAGCTTGAAAAGAGGAAGCTTACTACTTAGCTTGAAAAGAGGAAGCTTACTACATAGCTTGAAAAGAGGAAGAAAAAAAATGCCCACTGTGAACAAAACTAGATGAATAGTTCTGAGTCTTAAAATTTATATATAAAAAGAAAAGGCAGCATTTTTAAACTTTGCTATCGCAAGGACTATTTGTATTGATGCCTTACTAACTGTGCCACGTTTCGCAACTTTCTTTTCAAAGCGGAATCTAATACTCTGCAAAATTGGCCAATTAGCACGAACTGAACAAATATGAATGTATCGCTCAAAACTTTCAAATTTTTCGAATCAAAACACCAAAATTGTCACCCGTTTTATTTAGGCTTAAATTGTGATATTTTTGGGTTAAGAAACTTGGTTTGAATCCTTAACATATAAGTTGGATACCCTTAGGATAACAGTTTCCTCTGGGAGTTGAAGTGATGCACAAACTTGGTACAACTCTTTATTCAGATTAACTTCGTTTAAATCAGTGGTTACCAAGTGGTGGCCGGCGAAGCCCTTATTTTGTGCCCCGCGAACTATATAATAGTTGTCATTTGTGGACAATTTTCGTGAAAAATCTATATGGGGTTTAATACTTTTAAGCTTTAAATCTCATCGTTAATTACATTACATTAATTACATTAATTGTTTAAAACATAGGGTCACATCGAAGTTATTGTAGCAAGAATTTTTTAATATGCAATTAAATATTTTTAAAAATCTACTTATTTCAATTAATAATACAATACTTGTTTTGTATAACTTGATAAAATTCCGACAGTTATATTTAATGTTCTTTCAAACATAAAAGAGACCTATATAAAACTTTGATAGAGTTGCTGCCCGCCATTTGACTGGTGTTTTTAATTGCGGACCCCGGCCTCATGTAAGTTGGAAGCGCCTGGTATAATGAGGGGTGCTTTTCAATTGCAAATTGTTTTCAGCATGTCAGACGTGTTTAAAAATGGAGGATTGATATATTTCAGTTCAATACTGATAGGTATTTTTTATAGGCATGCTTGTTTCGTCTCATTTAGGTAATTTTATCAGTTAACTAACTAATCCGAAAATCAAACAAAGCCCTGCATGACGTAATTTTCTAACTACATTTAGATATAAGAGCTCGATAGCTACATGGACCAAAAATATTTTACACTAAGCGAAGTCTTTTTCTGTTTCAGATTTCAATCGAATGGAAGAATGCTCACCCCGAAAATTCAGATGCAACATTGGTTTTTGCATTCCGTGGAATTTTGTTTGCGATGGTATTGAGCATTGCTCTGATGGGGAAGACGAAGATGGCTGCCCATCCACATCCAATTATTGTATGGAGGGGGAGTTCCAATGCTGGAGTGAACACTGCATCCCAAAAGAGCAAATTTGTGACGGTCGTTTTGATTGCTTCGATAAGACTGATGAAAGAAATTGCTGTAAGTTTTATTTTTAATCGTTTTTCATGAGGACCCTATTCCACGAGAGAAACTTTTCATGGCGAATTCTGTTTCACCTCCAATTGGTATTTTAAAGTTCGGAAAAAAGTGAGTTCAGCGTAATCTTGAAATAGTTTATTTGTATTTAGACAGTCTGAAAAAAAAATCGGCATTTTTGATAGATAGGTAGGCATATACTTTTTTTATGCAGCATTAGAGCTGCGCAATGAGGTATTGGCGACGGTCTGGGAAGCATAAATAAGGATAATCAGAAGACATGCCATCGCAATTTTGAAACTCTGAAGTGAGAATGACTACCCTGCTTTGGTACCCGACGACCCGCACGCGAAGTCGAGCACTTTACGGTAGAACAGTTCAACGAGCACCTATACCGCGCACCCTCTGTCCCTGTGCAGCTGTGGTCACTCACCTGCAGCCAATGATTCTTGACTTCGGTGTTCTACTAGGTGTTTTTACGATCTGTCCACGGCGGATCTTCAGAATATGAAATTCCATGGTCTACTACAAGAGTTTTTCAACTTCAAAATACTTACTTACACAGAGGAGAGAGAATTTGCCATGAAGTTTCCTTTCATTAATAAAAGTACTTTGCATTTAAATAGGTTGTGATTACTACCGAACAGAGTAGAACCGTTTAATTGTTAACGTCACACATTGCGGATCCTAAATATTGTCTGATTGTTAACGTCACACAATGTGGATTCTAATTATCGTTTGATTGTTAGCGTCACACATTGTGGATCCTAAATATTGTTTGATTGATCACACATTGTGTGGATTCTAAATATCGTTTGATTGTTAACGTCTCACATTGCGGATTCTAAATATCGTTTGATTGTTAACGTCACACATTGTGGATTCTAATTAACGTTTGATTGTTAACGTCACACATTGCGGATCCTAAATATTGTTTGATTGTTAACATCACACATTGTGGATTCTAATTATCGTTTGATTGTTAGCGTCACACATTGTGAATCCTAAATATTGTTTGATTGATAACGTCACACATTGTGTGGATTCTAAATATCGTTTGATTGTTAACATCACACATTGCGGATCCTAAATGTTGTTTGATTGTTAACATCACACAATGTGGAGTCTAATTATCGTTTGATTGTTAGCGTCACACATTGTGGATCCTAAATATTGTTTGATTGTTAATATCTGATTAGATTCACAATAGGTAGTTGACAACGGTCAAATAATTTTGCTTAGTAATAATCTGAGGACAATCCTTGCGCAATTGCAATTAAAGAATTAAAAAAAGCAACTGTTGATACATCTACCAATCTCTGTTAAATTCTCCTAACCAACTATCAATTTATTTTTTAAAAAAATAAGAAAACGAAATTAAAATCAATTTTACATGCTGTATCAAGAATCTTTTGCAGTAATTATATTAATTGCTTCGCGGTGCTAATCCATAATATATTATTTATTATCTTCAAAAACTAAACATAAACAAACAGTCTTATAAGGAAATTATAATAAAATACCACTAAAACACCGATTAAATAAAGGCTCAGTATAATAAAAAGGAGTAAGTCATTTCAAATCTTAAAGAAAATTTTTTTCTGATAATAGTCATGAAGGATACAAAGTTTGCTTTAGGTAAAGTTAAAAAATAATAAGACACTTAAAAATACATTAAATTATGAAAAAAGGCAGATGACGTAACGACCTTCTCAACGAAATGATCTTGTCGATGAAATTATCTGTACACGAAAGTGATGGAAATGAAGAAGCTCGTCGAATTAAATGAAGCAGACTCTGATTCTAAATGCAATAATATTTTAATACATCATTTTAAGTTTATGTTGTTTCATATCCCAGACGGTGTTGCTTAGTTACACCATCTCCATAAAACAAAAAAAATCTTTAATAAGTCCAAAAATAAATTCTTTAAAATGTTGAAAACAGTAAAGTAATAAAGCATTTAAGAATACAGTTGGCTGAATCATTTTAAGTTCATAAAATAGTGAACTCTAACACAGAAGGCATGAAACCTTACGGCAACCATGTGTCGGAATTTTTTCTTTATTGTCACATGAATGTTAAACCTTTTTTCAATAAAGCAAAAATATTGCACTTTCAAACCTTTCATACTAAAAGGATTAAAAATTATTTTTTAAAGCTTCTTTAAAAAGTATTGTCACTCAAGATTCTTAGTGACGTTTTAACTGACGTCACACTAGCTATAAAATCAAATTGCATTGTCCATAAAAATATCATGACAAGGTGGATTTTAAGTAAGTATACAAGACTTTGCGAAAAGAAACATTATAATTGCCAAGATTTAAGATTATTTTCACCTTGAGACAAGCTTTATTAAAAAAAATCGTGTGTCGAAGTTTTCTTTTTATTGTCACATAAATGTTAGCACACATAAATGTTAAACCTTTTTTCAATAAAGCAAAAATATTCTACTTTCAAACCTTTCATCCTAAAAGGAATAAAAAATGTTTTTTTTAAACCTTTTTTAAACATTTTCACTTAAGCCCATGATGACGTTTTAGCTGACGTCACACTAGCTATAAAATCGAATTGCATTGTTCATTAAAATCTCATGACAAGGTGGAGTTTGGCTAAGCCTACAAGACTTTGCAAAAAGAAACACTATAACACCTTGAGACAAGATTTATTAAAAACAAAAAAAAATCGCTCTTAAAAACACTAAGTCAACCTCGCTTTAAGGTTTTTACGTAGAAGGTTGTTTTCCTAGGTTTTTGATTAGAGTAATGTGCGTGGAATAGAGCAGATTGTCACAGATATCGTTTTAAGATCAAAAGGTTTACACGTAAACCGTATTACAAACCTTTTTAGGTTTACATTAAAAGGCTTTTGTGGAGTGAAAAGAAACCTTGTATAGCTATCTGAGAAGTGGAATGATTTTTGACTGTGTGTGTTTTTTTCTCCAGCCGAATCCAGATGCGGAGGATTTTATTGCGGCAACAAAGAATGTGTTCCTCAAGAATCTAGATGTAACGGACAGAAGGATTGCACGAACGGAAGTGATGAAGAAAACTGCGAAGTTTCTGATTGCGACGAGGAAACTCATTTCAGATGCGATGAAAATAAATGCCTTCCGAAAGGACTTCTTTGCGATCATGACAGGGACTGTTCAGATGGAAGTGATGAAGAGAAGTGTGGTAAATAAAGTGTTACATAATTTTAATAAAAGCGCGAATCACGAAAATAATCAAGAAAAATGGTTTCTTAAGACAAGGGCCACCTCTGGGCGTCAGCTGAAAGTTGACCTACCCTGACCCCAACAAGATACTGTTTTGTAAACTCAGAGTGAGCAGTCGTTTCACCTCAGACATTATCTCGCATTGCGCATGCGCGAATGACATAAAAATTTTTTTATTTTGATCTGTAGCTCGTTTTTAACTTTATATGTGTTATTGTAGACCAGTGCTTAAGAGGGGAAAAATGACCTTTTAATCTGTGACCACAGATTGTTTTAAGCGCGGAATCTTTGTATGATTTATATCTTACAATATACAAATTAGGTCATTTTTTAAATTTTGGAGATTAATTTCTCCTCGAAATCAAAATGTTGGCAGATTTCAATAATCTGTTGGCTGTTGTCCGCCATTGCTTCAGCAGCTAGTGTAATCCAAATGCAATTGATTCGGACGGCAGTTGTCGTTCAAGCTGAGTGTTCGATGACGTCTAACGCGCAAATTGACCAATCAGAGGTTAGCGCTCGCTTCAAGCTAACGTTTTGTATCGCCTATGCGTCCTAAGAAACCGGGCCTTAAGATATGTTTCACGTTTCCAGGGAAAATCGATTTCTTTCTTCGCGCTAATTTTCAAAATAGTTACAATGGTCGAGCTGGCCGTGGTCAAAGGGCGCCGCTGACAAAGAAAAAAAAGAAAAGAAAAACTATAAAAATTCTTACAACTGCATGTCAATCCACTCTAATTGAAATACAGTTGTGAGAATGAGATGGTTATAAAAAAACCTTTGCGCTTTTTATGGACCTCCAGTGGTCATTCAAGCAATCGAGATGAGGAAATTTCAGATGTAGTATATTCGGAGGTATAAGCTTGTGATTCTAAAAACGACAATGGTTACGGATTTATAGGTACAGAGACTCGACATTTTCGAATTTGAGGCACCCATTTTTTTCGTTACAAAAAGTTCAGCGCATGCGAAAACCTTAATTACAGTGTTAATAGGTACCTGTATCACGAAATCTGGTACGCTATGCTCGACTCACAAAAAGCAGCTCTGCCCACATCCAAAAACACATGAACAAGGAATCACATGAATGATAAAAGCATTGAACACACAAAAAACACATGAGTATGAAAAAAATATTGACTCTATGAAGCGCAAAGATAGAGTCAATGTACATGATAAATAAAATAAATAAAGTAAAATTAAAATAAATAAATTAAAAAAATCAAAGAACCATGTTCACTAGATATTCAACGAAGAAAACCTATAAAAAATGTGGCTCACAATTTCAGGCACAATAGTTGACGTTCTGAAATTTTGCGATTAAGCGCCACCATCGGGGATTATAACATATGCTTAGTAACAGGCTGACGCTATGTAGCCATGTTGTTAATTAACAGCATACCAGAATTGCTGCTACACTATGCGCTGAATGACATCGTTTGGATGGAAGATGACGCGCCTCAACAAATTTTATTTTTAAAAAACGTTGCTGAACAGTAGACCCAATTTTGGGATTACGATCCAAGTAGCACATATCTCAAAAACAGTATCGTACGAACTTATCTTCGAATATTGTACAATATCGTTGCGAACCATTGTACTATACACCAAAGAGCCATTACGTTATGACCAACCTCCATCTATAACAATGGGCTCGTCCAGCTTTTCATGGTTTCTCGCCCAGGAGCAATGGTTTCATGGGGCACATTAGGCTTATCAGACTACCTATCAGCACCTTGTGGAATCAATCTCAAGGTGGGTGCTAGCAATTTTGAGGGATAAAGATGGTCCTACATGTTTTTAGCAGGTTGGTCATAATGTAATGGCTCTTCGGTGTATAAAAATGGACCCCTTTCATAACGTATATTCAATATCACAAAACGATGTTGTTCGATATTGTAAAAAACGTTGGGGAATGTCGATCGATATCTCACAGCATTTACAAACTTTGTACAATGACGATCGACATCGTTAACACACAAAAAAACGAATGCTAAGGAATACCGACAATCGCTAAAATTACGTTATTTGTTAAAATAAAAATTAGTTTTTGAAAATATTCAAGCCTGTTTGAAACTCGGAAGAAGCTGATAACAGAACCGTTCTAGCTTGCATAAAATTAAATTATTTTTTTATTACTAAAACTTATAAAATCTTAAAGTTTGCAGCTTAGTTAATTTTGTTCATTGCTTTTATACCATCAATGTTCAACTCCGTAGTCATATAATTTTGAACCCAATCCAGAAGACAAAGGAACTCCTGGATCAAATATTGGAAGAAATATTTTTGAGCCTTTAAATAAAACGGCAGGCAAAACTTCAAAATTCAAGTTTAAATCACCCATTAAATATGTACTTATTTGCATTTAATGCATTTTATATCGAAGTTTGTCTTCAGATTTTTTATCGTTGGTTTAAAAATTGTTAATTTTATAGTATAATTAGATTTTTGTTTCATTTAGATGAAGTGAGAAAGGAATCTACTGATATCGATAGTATTATTGATGAACTGGACGATTCAAGTGTAGTTTTTAAAGAATTTTTTCTGAACATTTTCAAGCGAAATTCAACCAAATCTTAATATTTCAAATTAAAAAATTTTCAAAATGTTTTATTCCTGTTAATTTCAATATTTATTGCTATTGATGTTTAATCAAATGAACTTTTTATGTATTTGAATTTAAATAAATAATTTAATGAACAAGTAGGAAATGGTCTATGGGTCTTAATTTCTATACACTTATAGTTAGTACATTATTTTCAAAACAAAAATTTATGTTCGATGAAGTCCTTACTAAAGTCTACTGGAATTCAATATGTAGCAATAAAGGAAACGAAATAAAAATGAAAATATGGAAATAAAAATGGAAATAAAAATGAAATATCGACTCTTCAGGGGGTACCGGTGAATGAAGAGATACGTAACATATTAATAGAATGCTTAACTGTCAAGTTAAGCATTCTATTAATATGTTACGTATCTTTTCCCTGAATTCTTTTTCTTAAATAAGGAGTGTTGTTTCCCTTTTGTTTTAAGTGTTTCCTTTTCATTTGGTTTGCTCATGAAATCGCTGTTTAACCTGGTTAAAAGTGAGTTTTTATTTTTTGATGATTTTCTTTTCTAAATTACTTTTATGTATTTCATGTTTTTTCCTGGACTTCTATACAAAATCTTCGGGATACTGAGAGAGGTACTTTAGGCATTTGCCTCTCCCTCAATAGAAGAGGTTTCGTTTTATGGCTACCGGGGCCGGTAGTCATTGAAGACGTCGTCTTCGGTAGTCATATTTTTATTTTTACTTCGTTTCCTTTATTGCTTTAAAGAACGTTTTTTGAAAGAAAATTTATCTATTTAGAATTATAAAAATGTTTTGTTTTTCTGGACTGGAATTCAATAAAAATTCATATTCGCAAAATAATTGGTTTAGTTTTAAAATTTTAATTCATCAATGTTTCATTAATTTTTTTTTTTTTTAAATATTGTTATTTGTCCTGTTATTTATTGTTATTTTTCTCTATAGACCTTTGAATGCAACGATACATCACAGAAAACAATCTTCTTTATAGGAAACAAAACTCGAGACAGTTAAACTTGCTTTTTTATATGATTCTCGAGAACGTATATGTGGCAGGTTTAGTTATGTAGTATTATCAAACCTATTTGTTAAGGACACTTTGGTAAATTAAGTTTTTATAAACATTAAAACAAATTACCAATTAAAATTTAAAGAATAAATTTAATTTAAACTTAATTAAGAAATTTCAAATAAAAATACAAAAAAAAATTAAGATTATTGGGTAGACATTCATCACCAACCAGTACACGAGGTAAACTGATGTGTAGCGCTGGTTGCTGGAAGAAAAATTGTTTCTGAACATGAGTCACTGTAAGTTGAAGTGCAAGTGTTTTTTTTTGTATCCCCAAGTAAAGGTGAAATTATAGGAGCCGGAACATCATTTAGCATGTATTTCTTAAGCAATATTTTGTAGTAAGCTCATTGGGATCACTCTCTTTTTGAGAAATCACGAAGAGTATTATTTTTCATCGTGGGTCCCGATAACAGTTTTTCGAAAATTAATCCACTACAAGTTTAACAAAAAACTTATTTGAACTTGAGTGGATGAATAAAAAGTATTTTATTAACGATGGAAAATTTGAACAAGATTCAGGAAGAGTATGAACTAATAGTAGGAATTGAAAAATAGCAATGTTTTAATAAAAAAAATTATTAATTTTTTTATCTTGACAGATTTTTTTTTAAAAAATGTACATTAACTTTTTTTAAAACTTAATTTGAAAATAAAAAAATGGAAATAAATATTAATTGGAAGAGGGAATTCAGTCTGCTGATTTTTTCTCAGGGTTGAAGAGTGGCAGCCATGTTGTTTATAGTGTGTCTAAAGTAAGAACATCCTAGCCATTCGTCTTGAACCGAGGCGGGTACCATGGTAACGAGATATAACTCTTTCAATTAGGGGTGTGGGGTCATTGTTTGGTACAGGTTTTAGTTCCGGTCTGCGAAGGTAAGAGATTCTTTTTCTTTGGCTATAGTGTTAGCCTTAGAGTGAAAAGAAACCACCCTCCCTGAAATGCATAATTCTTGTTTCCATAGCAGCTGACGGCCTCAGACTTAGGGGCGGAGGGAGTTCTGTTACTCTTACAAATTATACTAATGCGCTTTTCTCCCCCTCCCCCTTTTATACTGTAGCAATATTTTTTCCTCACGGTGTAGACAAATCTCTCAACAAAAACTAAACACCTTTTAAGTACTCTTTAAGAACTCAAAAATATTTTCAAGCACCATAATTACTAACAAAATGCATAATAAATTTTCCAACACTTTTCATTATCATGATAAAATAACTAAGTTTCTGACAAGGAACTCTTTTCTTAATTATATTAACCACTAAAAAATGATCAAGAGATTTTTCGATTCGATATCAGACGGTGGAAAATGAA